GGGGCAACTGGGACAGAATCCGGCACCCCAACTGGGACTAGAACCCGGGGTACCAGTACCATAGGCGAAGGATTAGCCTAGTGAGCCACGGCACCAGCCCACCCTTTTTTTTTTTTTTTAATATTTATTTATTTACTTGAAAGTCAGAGTATGGGGCTGACCCTGTGGCTCACCTGGTTAATCATCCGCTTGTAGCACGAGCTTCCCATATGGGTGCCGGGTTCTAGTCCCAGTTGCTCCTCTTCCAGGCCAGCTCTCTGCTGTGGCCCAGGAAGGCAGTGGAGGATGGCCCAAGTGCCTGGGCCCTGCACCCCCATAGGAGACCAGGAGGAAGCACTTGGCTCCTGGCTTCGGATTGGCGTAGCTCCGGCCGTGGCGGCCATTTGGGGGGTGAACCAATGGAAGGAAGACCTTTCTCTCTGTCTCTCTGTCTAACCCTATCTGTCAAAAAAAAAAAAAAAAAAAAATGGAGTTAACACAGGAGAGGCAGAGAGAGAGAGAGAGAGAGAGGGAGGTCTTCAATTTGCTGGGTCACTCCTCAATTGGCCGCAATGGCTGGCACTGTGCCAATCTGAAGCCAGGAGCCTAGAGCTTCCTCTGGGTCTCCCACACAGGTGCAGGGGCCCAAGGATTTGGGTCATCTTCCACTCTTTCCCAGGCCACAGCAGAGAGCTGGATCGGAAGTGGAGCAGTTGGGACTCAAACCGGTGCCCATATGGGATGCCAGCACCGCAGGTGGTGGCTTTACCTGCCACAGCATCAGCCCCCATCCTTTCTTTTTAAGCACAGTTTTAAGACACAGGTAAATCTAACAGACGCAATCCATGACTACTCATTTAAGATTTTTATTTATTTACTTGAGAGGTAGTTACAGACAGAGAAATGCAGAGCCAGATAGAGAGGTATTCCAACTGCTGGTGCAATGGCCGGAGCTGATCCGAAGCCAGGAGCCGAGAGCTTCTTCCAGGTCTCCCATACAGGTGTAAGGGCCCAAGCACTTGGGCCAAGCCTCTGCTGCCTTCCTAGGCCATAGCAGAGAGATGGATCAGAAGAGGATCAGCCAGGACTCAACCCAGTGCCGCAGGCAGAGCCTTAGTCCACTATGCCACAGCGCCAGCCCTGAGCGCTCATTTTCACCCTGGGTTAAACAAACTCTTTAGGAGCTTTCCCTTTTCCGGGCACCATGATGTCGTCTGACGTACACTCTGCATCACTGACCTTTCTAAGAGTATCTCACACTCCTAGACAGTTCAGGATCTAAAATGCCTGTGTTGATGATGGCTCAAGTATCTGTGCCCCTGCCACCCATGTGGGAGATCCAGACTGAGTTCCTGGTTCCTGGTTTCAGCCTGCCCAGTTTTGGCTATCACAGGCATTGGGGAGTATACCAGCAGGTGGAAGTTCTTTCTAAAAATTAAGAAAAAATTTTAATGCCTGTATTACATTCTCCACTCTACTGATGTAAAGAAGTGTCTCTCACTTCTGTCAGACTCCAAAAAAGAAAGGAATGGGGAGAAGGGAAAATGGAATGATGTAAGAAGGCCAAGGTTGAACAACATGACAGAAAATGAATGTTCTAGTACCCAATTCAGAATAATCAAAACTTATTCAAGAAGGATGTTCCAGTCTTCCATACTACTAATGATGAAGTAGCAAGTGGAGACTATGACAGATTGAAAATATTTATTTGCTAATCTTTGTAGTATGAATCTATTGTTGAAATGCCAGCTGTCTTTCTTTCATATACCACACCCATAACAACTAACCTCTTTCCCAAGTCCTGATTTCTAGAAAGAACAAAAACCTGAAAACCTTCACAAAGTAATCTATGTACAGAATACATCTACACTTTTAAGAGCCCCTGTCCAATCTGCCCAGTTTACGTTTCTATATGAGATGTGATTTATTTTAATGACTTGCATTTATAATCTCTCCAAAGCATTTGAAACACTTCTCACAAACCTGTTCTTCTTATCTGAAATTCACTAGCTTACACTATATTTCACTGCCTGATTGTAACAAGTATGAGCATAAGCAGACACAGAAATAAATACAACTGACTCTTCATAAGCAAAAATCCCATGGCTAAAGGCTCCATGGCTGGGGTGTATCAGCCCAAGCAGCGTGCGCGGGACCTCACCGGTACGCCAAGCTGGTTAAAGGGCAACTGGTTAAGAGACTGTCCACTGTCCATCAGGTTCAAAGTGCCGCAATGAATTATGTTACTACAAATGCCCCAAACTTGAGGTTTTAATTTACCAAAATACTGGTAATACTGAGAAGAACTTTTAAATGTGGGATTTTTTCTGTTAATTCTTGTTATAAACAGGGAAAAACAGCCAGAGGTTTGGTCTGTTTGCTCTCTGAGCTCCCTCCTTGCTCGCTGTATTACAGGGCCCCGTGCTCATTGAATGCTCCATAAACTCGCTAACTATGTTCACACATCCTAACCTGGATCGGAATTTCAACTGCCCTCACTGCTGGCCTGTAAATAGGTTTCTAGGGCTGAAAAAACAGAACGCTAACGGGTTTGACTGACGGTCAATTATCCTCTCATAGTTTCATCTCTTTTTCTTCACATTGTATGTATGTTTCCTGACATTGGTTAATTAAATTTAAAAATCAAGGTCCTGGCTATACTTAGATTACAGTTGCATTAACACTAATAATATTCTATAAACTACTCCATCTTGATTATAGCCATTAGTGCTCATTAAAAACCAAAACTGGGCTGAATGTCCCATTATGTTTGAATCCCACATTCCCACAATGTGTGGCAGTTAATACTTCCAGTCTTTGGCACGTCTACTGAGAACATAAAAGTTCTCCTGGAACTAACAAATTACTTCCCTTCCAACACAATTATATAATCTGAGTGCTGAACAGCACCCTAGAGATTATGCTGTGGTCCAAAATCCCTCTCAATTAAAGGACCTCATCTATAAGTACTGGGGAGGGGGGGGATGCTTATCTTTAGATCACATATGACACAGTGCTATCTATACCCACAGTAGGCCCTTTAATACATTCATGTTTAATTGAACTGAGCAAGTCTAAAATGGGCTCATTTCATTAATTTTCTTGGTCTGCCCAGGCTTCAGCTGCAACACTCACTGAATGTATAATTAAAGACTTGCATGATTATTCTGCTCATTAACCAATGTTCAAAAAGAAATGCACTAAAGCAAACTCCATGATCATTCAAATGTTTTAATCCACTACAGAGACTTGTTTCATAGCTTAAAAATTTAAGCTCGTAAAAGGCAAGTCCTAGGCCTGGTCTGACTTCCAAGAGGCAGCGGCGTAGCCTAAACACGCAACTAAGCACGCAACATGAACACTGCTATGCACACAATAAAACTTTAACAGAACATGGAGAGACAAGACTTCGTTAATTTGTTTATGAAAAAGGAGTTGTAATTCACCCAGAATATTCACGTGTTTTCAATTTCAAGTGTGCTTTTTAAAACATAGTCTTGCATCATTCATACAACTAAATTACATACCCTACTACTTATAATTGGGGTGCTCACAGACTTAACTCCCATAGTGTAGGAAGACATGCTATTATGCTAATTCATCTTCCTTCCAGTTAACAGCCTGCGATCCCATCTGATATCCCATAATATGATATGATAATGAGGAGAACAAAGACTGCAGCAGTAACCGCTACCAATCATATTTACTTCTCTTCACTATCTATTCCAAAACAGGCATAATTACTGCCCACTATCACTATTACACTGCATCCGCTTTGGGGGACTTTTATAATGTATACTAGGACCCAAAGTATCTATTTCTAAATCTCCTTTCCTTCTCTTTCGCTAAAAGGAGGGTACCCATGAGATGGCCCGACACCACCATTAGCGCTGCACTAATTTTCCTCAGGTAGTAATTTACATGCCCACTTCCTCCTAAACATTTCTGGACAGCAACGCCTGGTAATCCATCTGTCTCTTTCATCACAGCTCCTTTTCATAACTAACGGGTCGAGTTCCTCTCCCCCATTTCAACACCGAGGCGCTGTCCCGCCGCCCCGCCACCTCAGCCCACTGGGGAACGCCAGAATCCAACAGATTGAATTTCCCTGTCTTTCATTGTTTCCACCCTAACTGCCATTTTACCACCGCGCTCACAGGAGACAAGCATTCCCACAGGCATCTCACGAATTTCCAAAGCAGCTATTCTTTGTGGATTTACAAACCATGGGCCCTCTCTGAATTCCCTCCATCACCACAGAAACGGCTTTGGGAAGCTGAGATTTTTTTTTTTTTTCCTCAGTACCCTAAGCAAAAAAGAGACTGTTCTCAAACATTTCTGTTGTCCTAGCAGAGGAGGAATGTCAGGGCCCAGATCTCCAACAATCCTTTCGGTCTTTCCAAGCAAAAGGAAACATTTTCAGTCCGCAAAGATTATTTTATCAGATGCCTTTTCTTCTCAGGCTACCCCTTCGGGGCTAGCCAGCGCGCTGTAAATCAAACAGTGGCTCTGGCCGGTGCACAACGCCCTCCATCTTCCCCCCACCCCCCGGCGCTCAGACACACCTAATCCCTCGGCAAACCCCAAATCGGCCCAAGAACGGGACGATTTCTCCGCCACAAAGGCCGGCCTGCGCCTCGTGCGCTGCGGCCTCCGCACACATGTGCCGGGCTGACAAGCGACGAGCTGCCCTTCCTGGATCCGCGCTGTGGCCTGGGCCGAAAGCCACGCTCCTCCCGGGCCGCTGCCGACTCCGGGTGACAGGCGGCCGGCCCCGAGCGCCCCGCCGCAAGCTGGCGTCCCCCTCCGGCCGCCGCCGCACGGAGCCACTTCCCCTCCGCCCCGCCGTCCGCGCTCCGGACCTCCACCCCCACCACCCCTCGATTTCGCCCCGCAGGGAAGTCCGTCGGAACCTCCCCGGGGCCGAGCGGGGCGCCCTGGCCGCGGCCCGGGCACACCCTCCCGCGGCGGCCGCGCCCCCCGCGCCCGCGCCCCCCAGCCCGCGAGGCCCGGCGCCTCACCTCCTCCTCGCTCTCGCTGCGGAAACAGAGGCACGCGGCCCGCTTCTTGTAGCCGTCGCCGTCATAGGTGCGGGTCTGGTTCGACTTGAGCTTCATCATCCTCCGGGCCCGGGGTGGGGGTGCAGTGCGGGTCGCGGGAGTCGAGGGGTGGGGAGCCCGCTCCTGACGGCCGCGCGCGCGCGCGCCCCCGGCTCGGTCAAGGAAGCAGGGAGAGAGAAGCCGCTTCTCTGCTACACGGCTCCGCCGCTGGCCCGCCGCGGCCGCCTCATTCCCCCCGGCCCAGGTCCCGCGCCGTTGCCGCCGCCACCGCCGCCGTCACGGCTGCCGTCGCCGCTGCCGCCACGGCCGCCGCCCCCTCTGCCGCCGCCACCCCCGACGACGACCACGCCGCCATCTTGGGCGCGCTGCGTCAGCGGCGTAAGGCCGCGCCGGCCTGCGGGACGGCCGCGCGCTCACAGCGCAGACCGCGTTCGGGAATAGCGCCCTCCCAGCCCGCGCGGCGTAAACGAGCGTCTGGAATGAGAGGGCCGGGCGACTCCAGGCTGCCGCTACGCGAGCAGCGTAGGCGTGGGGGACCGTGGGCGCGCGCGGAGGAAGCGACGGAGATAAGATGCGGGAGGGCGCGGGGCGGGGATTCCCGCGGGACTGCTGCACGGGGCAGCGGGGCAGAAGCGGAGACTTGGCCAAGGTCTCTGCGAGTCCGCGGCAGAGGATGATCCAAGGTCATGTCCTCTGGCCTTTCGCCTTGCCTGTGTGGGGAGAAGGTAAGGGAGGAGGTGTGGAGGGAGAAAATGGTATGCAATTAAACACTACAGAGAGTGCAGCCTGAGAGATCTGTTTGCCCCAAATCTTGGGAAGTGAGGGGAGCATCCCCCGCTGCCCGTTGAGGTGACAGCCTGAAGTTAGGGAGGTCTTAATGGGTTGGCGCATGTCGTCCATGCAATCCTTTGTTGGTGCAAAAATCAAGTGCTTCCGCTGAAGTTGAACCAGAGAGCAAGAAGGGGTGTGTGTGTACGTATGGGTATGCACGGATCAATCATAAATCATAAAACATCATCATTCCTGGCAATAAACGAGGAACATGTGTCGTGGAGGTCAGACAGCTTCTCCGGAAAAAGATACAGACTGAAGCTCTCCAGGAAGGAGAAATATGTTGTGATCTGCGACTGTCCACAGCAACCAGACCTATCCTGCCCGGGGCTAGCGTTGCCATAAACATACAGAACTTTTCCTGCAGGATTTGGCTGTGAATGTTTATTATTGCCCTTATTTTTAATTTGCTTCTATTTTAGCGTAATCAAAAAGGTCAGGATTTAAAACCAACAAACCTGGTTGGAACCTCGATTACATCATTTTTTTTATTTTTTATTTTTTATTTATTTATTTTTTTTGACAGGCAGAATGGACAGTGAGAGAGAGACAGAGAGAAAGGTCTTCCTTTGCCGTTGGTTCACCCTCCAAAGGCCGCCGTGGCCAGTGCGCTGCGGCCGGCGCACCGTGCTGATCCGATGGCAGGAGCCAGGTACTTATCCTGGTCTCCCATGGGGTGCAGGGCCCAAGTAAAACAGGGATACTAAGCTTGCTTGGCCTCTGCACATGGTAGACACCAAAGTTATTGCAGCTAATGTTGGCACTGCTCTCAACCCTTGTTATATAGGTGGAGTTTCTTTTGTTAAATATACTTTTTAAAGATTTATTTATTTGGGGGCTGACTCCATGGCTCACTTGGTTAATCCTCCGCCTGCGGCGCCAGCATCCCATATGGGCCCCAGGTTCTAGTCCCGGCTGCTCCTCTTCCAGTCCAGCTCTCTGCTGTGGCCCGGGAAGGCAGTGGAGGATGGCCCAGGTGCTTGGTCACCTGCACCTGCATGGGAGACCAGGAGGAGGCACCTGGCTCCTGGCTTCAGATCGGCATAGTTCCGGCCGTGGCGGCTATTTGGGGAGTGAACCAGTGGAAAAGGAAGACCTTTCTCTCTGTCTCTCTCTCTCACTGTCTATAACTCTACCTGTCAAATAAAAAAATCTTAAAAAAAAAAAAAAAGATTTATTTATTTGAAAAGCAGAGTTACACAGAGAGAGAACAAGACCTTCCATTCTGTGGTTCACTCCCCAAGTAGCCACAACAGCTGGAGCTGGGCCGATCTGAAAGCCAAGAGCCAAGAGTCTCTTCCAGGTCTCCCATGTGGGTGCAGGACCCCAAGCACTTGGGCCATCTTCCACTGCTTTCCCAGGCACATTAGCAGGGAGCTGGATCTGAAGTGGAGCAGCCAGGACCCAAACCAGTGTCCGTATGGGATGTGGATGCCCTTTTTTTTATTTTTTTTTTATTTTTTGACGGGCAGAGTAGACAGTGAGAGAGAGAGAGAGAAAGGTCTTCCTTTTGCCGTTGGTTCACCCTCCAATGGCCGCCACAGCCGGCGCGCTGCGGCTAGTGCATGGCGCTGATCCGATGGCAGGAGCCAGGTGCTTCTCGTGGTCTCCCATGGGGTGCAGGGCCCAAGCACTTGGGCCATCCTCCACTGCCTTCCCGGGCCACAGCAGAGAGCTGGCCTGGAAGAGGGGCAACCGGGACAGAATCCAGCACCCTGACCGGGACTAGAACCCGGTGTGCCGGCGCCGCAAGGCAGAGGATTAGCCTAGTGAGCCGTGGAGCCGGTGGGGATACACTTTACCTGCTAAGCCACAACACCAGCCCTTAAATATATTTTTTTTTCTTTCTTTCTTTTTTTTTTTTTTTTTTGACAGGCAGAGTGGATAGTGAGAGAGAGAGACAGAGAGAAAGGTCTTCCTTTGCCGTTGGTTCACCCTCCAATGGCCGCCACGGCCGGCGCGCTGCGGCCAGCGCACCGCGCTGATCCGATGGCAGGAGCCAGGAGCCAGGTGCTTTTCCTGGTCTCCCATGGGGTGCAGGGCCCAAGCACCTGGGCCATCCTCCACTGCACTCCCTGGCCACAGCAGAGAGCTGGCCTGGAAGAGGGGCAACCGGGACAGAATCCGGCGCCCCAACCGGGACTAGAACCTGGTGTGCCGGCGCCGCTAGGCGGAGGATTAGCCTAGTGAGCCGCGGCGCCGGCCTAAATATATATTTTTAAATTTTATTTGAAAAGCAGAGTTACAGAGAAAGATGGGTATTCCATCTGCTAGTTCTCCCCCAAAATGGGCTCAACAGCCAGAGCTGGGCCACACGAGGCCCGGAGCCCAAGCACGTGGTCCAACTTGTGCTGCTTTCCCAGGCTCACTAACAGGGAGCTTGATTGGAAGTGAAGCAGCCGGGACTCAAACCAGTGCTTACTGAATGTGGTAGGCAGCTCAACCCGCTGTATCACAATGCTGACCTTGAGATGTGGAATTTCTTATCATTTTGGTCAAACCCCCTGCAACAGAATTCCCAAACGTAGTCATTTTGTTTGTCTTTCTAGCTTTCTCCTGAATTAAAAGATGCCTCTGGGAGCTATGGCTGTGGTGTAGAAGATTAAACCTCTGCCTACAGTGTCTGCATCCCATATGGGCGCCAGTTCAAGTCCCAGCTGCTCTACCTCTGATCCAGCTCCCTGCTAAAGTGCCTAGGAAAGTCACAGAAGGTGCCCTGATGCTTGGGCCCCTGCACCCATGTGGGAAATCCAGAAGCACCTCCTGTCTCCTGGATTCGGCCTGGCCCAGCCCCGGCCATTGCAGCCATTTGGGGAGTAAACCAGTTAGATAGAAGATCTCTCTTGCTCTGTGTGTCTCTCTGTCTCTCTCCTTCTCTCTATATCTCTGCCTTAAGTAAATAAATAAAAAAAAGAATCAAAAGTTCCATTTGTAGAAACACACTGTCAAACATCCGAAAAATCCAGGGGACATAAAGAGCATGAAATCATGGATGGCTTTGAGCACATTCTGTAGACATCGCTACCCTGCCTTTTTTTTTTTTTTTTTTGCCTTTTACCCATGTCATTCAGTTTTTTTTTTTTTCTTTTAAGATTTATTTATCTATTTGAAAGTCAGAGTTACACAGGGAGAGAAGAGGCAGAGAGAGAGGTCTTCCAAACGCTGGTTCACTCCCCAGTTGAGCACAATGGCCAGAGCTGCACTGATCCAAAGCCAGGATCCAGGAGCTTCTTCCGGGTCTCCCACGTGGGTGCAGGGGCCCAAGGACTTCGGCCATCTTCTACTGCTTTCCCAGGCCATAGCAGAGCTGGATCGGAAGTGGAGCAGCCAGGACTCAAACTGGTGCCCCATGGGATGCCGACACTGCTTTCCCCGCTATACCACAGTGCTGGCCCCATTCAGTTTTTCATTCCTTTTTTTTTTTTTTTTTTTTTTTTTTTTGGACAGATAGGGTTAGACAGTGAGAGAGAGACAAAAGGTCTTCCTTCCTTGGTTCACCCCCAAAATGGTCGATACTGCTGGCACGCTGCGCTGATCCGAAGCCAAGAGCCAGGTGCTTCCTTCTGGTCTCCCATGTGGGTGCAGGGCCCAAGCACTTGAGCCATCCTCCACTGCCTTCCTGGGCCACAGCAGAGAGCTGGACAGGAAGAGGAGCAACCAGGACAGAATCCAGTGCCCCGACCGGGACTAGAACCCAGGGTGCCAACGCCGCAGGCAGAGGATTAGGCTAATGAGCCGGGGCGCTGGCCTCATTCCATTTCTAAGTGCTACTTATAGGCTGGTGTGGAGATGTACATCAACCATGTTCCCATTTCCCGTCGTTAGGTCAGGCTGTGTCCTTCGACGCTAGAACCGCATCAGTGAACTTCCGCACAGAGAAATCTGTGTCTGTGTCTCAGGCGGCTCCTGAGACACGGTGAGGAGAATGGAACGTGTTGTGATTTGCTGCCTCTTGCCGGAGCCTCCCTGGGAAGGTTGCAGTCAGACTCTGCGCTGGACTGTGTGCCTCTTTCTTAAGGTTGAGAGCACAACGACGAATGGCGTTCCTCCCTCAGTCCCTCGGAGTCCAGGTAATAAGCAAGTTAGATTGTAACCTTCCTGAAGGTGAAGACTGCCATTTACAGCCACGTCCCCACGTCTTAGCACCTGACCTTGTCCAAAGGAAGCACTCTGGAATGGGGCGGGGATGTGGAGAAGCAGATTAAGCCACAGCTGGGTTGCCTGCACCCTGTATCCGCGCGTCCTGATGTGGCCATGGAGATCCAGCTTCCCGCTAAGGCCTCAGAGGCAGCAGGTGATGGCTCAGGTGATTGGGCCCAGAGGGGAGTGAGCAACAGATGGAAGCTCTCTCTCTCTCTCTCTCTCTCCCTCTCACTCACTCACTTGCTCTCTCTGCCTTTCAAAAAGATGAACATAAAGTTTCCTTTCGTTACTTTTTAAAGAAGATTCATTTAGGGGCCAGCACTGTGGCATGGTGGGCTAAACATCTTCCACCTGTGGCGCTGGCATCCCAGATGGGTGCCATTCAAGTCCCGTCTGCTCCTTTTCCGATCCAGCTCTCTGCTATGGCCTGGGAAATCGGTAGGTGGTGGCCCAACTCTGGCGCCCCTGCACTGCGTGGGAGACCTGGAGAAAGCTCCTGGCTTCAGATCAGCCAAACTCTTGGCCATTTTGTGAGTGAATCAGTGAATGGAAGACCTTTCTCTCTGTCTTACTCTCTCTGTCTGTAACTCTACTTCTCAAATAAATAAGTAAAATCTTTTTAAAAAGGAAGATTCTTTTATTGATTTATTTGTTTGAAATAGCAACAAAAGGCAGTGGTTAAGATACCACTTGGGGGTGGGGCAGGGCAACACTTGGCACAGTGTGTTAAGCTGCTGCCTGCAACACCAGCATCCCATATGGGCACCAGTTCAGGCCTCTGCTGCTCCACTTCCGGTCCAGCTAATTTGCTTGAGAAAGCAGCAGAAGATGGCCCAAGTGTTTGGGCCCCTGCACCCACATGGGACACTTGAATGGGGCTCCTGCATCCTGGCTTCAGCCTGACCCAGCCGAGGCTACTGCAGCCATCTGAGGAACGAATTAGCAGATGGAAGCGCTCTCTCTCTCTCGCTCTCTCTCTCTCTGTGTAACTCTGATTTTCAAGATGGATCCTAGGCTTTCAATTTTAATCAAAACTATACTTGAAAAAATAAATAGCCAAGTAACAGACAGTGACAAAGATACTCACAAGAGATACTAGTAACCAAGGTCTCTATCCAATAAGTACAAAGGACTCTTGCTATTTAATAACAAAAAAAAAAAATTTAAATGGCAGAGTGGAGTCAGGCATTGTGATGCTGCAGGATAAGCCAACACTTGCCCATCCCATATCAGAGTACCAGTCTGGGCCGGCGCCGCGGCTCAATAGGCTAATCCTCCGCCTGCGGCTCCGGCTCACCAGGTTCTAGTCCCGGTCGGGGCTCCGGATTCTGTCCTGGTCGCTCCTCTTCCTGTCCAGCTCTCTGCTGTGGCCCGGGAGTGCAGTGGAGGATGGCCCAAGTGCTTGGGCCCTGCACCCCATGGGAGACCAGGAGAAGCACCTGGCTCCTGGCTTTGGATCAGTGTGGTGTGCTGGCCACAGCACGCCGGCCACAGCGGCCATTGTGGGGTGAACCAACAGAAAAAGGAAGACCTTTCTCTGTCTCTCTCTCACTGTCCACTTTGCCTGTAAAAAAAAAAAAAAAAAAAAAAAAAAAAAGTACCAGTCTGAGTCCCGGCTACTCTGCTTCTGAGCAGGTTTCTTGCTAATTCATCCTGGAAGCCTGCAGATGATGGGTCAAGCACTTGGATCACTGCCTCCCACATGGGAGACAGGGTGGAGTTCAGAGATCTGGGTTAGCACTGGGCCAGCCCTGACTGTTGCAGGCATTTAAGGAGTGAACCAGCAAATGGAAGACATTGGTCTCCATCTCTTGCGTCTCGCTGTCACTGTCACTCTCACTATCTCAGTCTCTTGCTATTGGTTTGCCTTTTTTTTTTATTTATTTGATTTTTATTTAATGAATACATTCTTACATAGATACAACTTTAGGAATATAGTGGTTCTTTCCCCCATACTCCGGTTTGCCTTTCAAGTAGTTTTTTTTGTTTTTAGTGTACCAGCATTTTTTAAGGTCTATTTTGTATTTATTTGAAAGGCTGAGTAAGAGAGAGGGACAGACCAAGTGAGAAAGATCTTCCATCCACTGGTTCGCTCCCTAAATGGCCAAAATAACCAGGGCTGGGTTGGGTCAAAGCCAGGAATCCAAAACTCCATCTGGTTCTCCCACATGGGTGGCAGGAGCCCAAGTACTCGGGGCATCATCTACTGCTTTCCCCAGTACATTAGCAGGAAGTTAGATCAGAAATGGAGGGGCCTGCGCTGTGGCTCAGTGGGTTAATGCCCTGGCCTGAAGCACCAGCATCCCATATGGGCGCCGGTTCCAGTCCCTGCTGCTCCTCTTCTGACCTGGCTCTCTGCTATGGCCTGGGAAAGCAGTGGAAGATGGCCCAAGTCCTTGGGCCCCTGCACCCTCATAGGAGACCCAGAAGAAGCTCCTGGCTCCTGGCTTCGGATCAGCGCAGCTCCAGCCGATGTGGCCAATTGTGGAGTGAACCTTCGGATGGAAGACCTTTCTCTCTCTCTCTCTCTCTCTCTCTCTCTCTCTGTGTGTGTGTGTGTGTGCGCGTGTAACTCTGACTTTCAAATAAATAAATATTAAAAAAAAAAAAAAAGAAATGGAGCAGTAGGGACTCGAACCAGCACTCCAATGCAGAATGCCATCACCGCAAGTGGCAATTTAACCCGCTGTACCACAACACCAGCCCCTCAAAGACTAAAATCAACAAAAAGTACACATTTAAAAAAAAGTCAAAACCAGGACTGGCATTGTGGTGTAGCAGGTTAGGCAGACATTGTGACGCCAGCATTCCATATCAGAGTACCAGTCGGAATCCCAGCTGCTCCACTTCCAATCCAGTTCCCCACTAATGCACCTGAGGAAGCAGCGGAAGATGACCCAAGTGCCTGGGACCCAGATAGAGTTGCTGGCTCCTGGCTTTTGCGTGGTCCAAACCTGGCTGTTGTGGCCATCTGGGGTGTGAAGCAGTGGATGGAAGATCTCTCTGTGTCTCTCCTTCTCTGTAACTATGCCTTTCAAATGAATAAATCTTTAAAAATAAAGTCAACATTTGTTTAAAGCGGTAAAGTATTTGAAGATACTTCATGAAGAAAAATGATCAGTAAGCACAGTGTTCAATGTCACTGGTAATCAGTGAAATGCAAGTTCAACTGTAACGAGACTTTGCTACGTCTCTACTGGAATGGCCAAAATTAAAAATGCTGACAGCATCAAATCTTGGTGAGAATGCTGAGCAACCAGAACTCTCATACGCTGGTGTCAAGAATGTTCCGTGGTACAAACACTTGAGAGAAGTGTTTGGTGGTGTCTGATAAAGTGAAACAGTATCCACCTCACAACTCAGTGAGTCCATGTCTGGGTGTACTTACCCAATGCGGTAGGCAGAATAAGGCCCGCACCGAAGACGTCCACGTCCTACGCCCCAGAATTTGCGACTACGGTACCTTGCTTGGGAAAAGGGACTCTAATGATGTGATTAAGGATCTTGAGGTGGGGATAGAATTGCATATCATCTGGGTGGGCCCAGCGTGATCACAGGGGTCCTATAGGGAAAGAAGGCGATAGAATAGTCAGACTGAAGAATACAATGATAGGGACTGAGATCAGAAAAAGCTTTAAAGGTGCCGTGAGGTGTGGGTGCTTGGGGTTAAGGTGCTGCTTGGGATGCCCCCTGAGTTCAAGTCCCAGCTCTGCCTCTGCTCTACCATCCTGCAAACGCCCACACTGGGAGGCAGCAAGTGATGGAAGGCTCAGGTGGTTGGGTGCCTACCCTGCACATGAAAGACTGGCATTGAGTTCCTGGCGCCTCGTTTCCACCTGGCCCAGCCCCAGCTCTTGCAGGCATTTGGGAGTGAACTAGTGTGTGGAAGATTCTCTAATGAAAATAAATAAAATGTTCAGAGGTGCTATGTTGCTACCTCTAGGATGAAGGGAGGAGCTACGGACTGCAGGTGGCTTCCAGAAGGTGGAAGAGATGAGAAACAGATTCTCCTCCAAGCTGCCAGGACGAATGCAGTCCTGCTGACCCATGTTGGAACTGGGCCATCAGAAGTGTAAGGTAATAGATGTGTGTGGCTTTAGGCCTCTACATGTGTGGTAATTGTCACAACAGCAATTGGAAATCAGCAAATGCAATCAGCAAAAGTGAAAACACTGGTCTCCAAAAAGGCTTTTACAAAATGGTCTTTCAAATAAATAAATCTTTTTAAAAATAAAAATGAATAAACTCTAGTATATCTTTGCAATAGAATACTATTCCGCAATAAAAAGGAGCAAACTTTTGATATATGCCATATCCATGGATGAATCTCAATGTATTATGCCGAACAACAGAAGCCAGATTCAAGAACACGTATTATATGTCTCTATTTGTCTGACGTTCTGGAGCATTACAGAGACCAAGGACAGCGACTGTCAGGGGGACTGGCCACAGGAGAGCAGCGTGGGCGAGCTTCTCGGCGTATAAAAGATCTATAGCTTCACATGGCGATGGTTACATGACCATACAAGGGTCAAGTTCATGGAGGGGGTGGTCTTTGGCACAGTGGTAAAAATGCCTTTTGGAATATGCACATCCCATATCAGAATGTTGAAGTTTAAGTCTTGGCTCCACTTCCAATTCCAGCTTCTTGCTAATGCAGACCTTAGGAGGCAGATAATGGCTCAAATACTTGGGTCTCTGCCACCACAAAGGAAGACCTGTGGAGTTGCCGCCTCCTAGCTTCAGCCTGGTCCAACCCTGGCTGTTCGGGCATTTAAGGAGTAAATCAGTGGATGGAAGATCTTTCTCTCTCTGCTTTTCAAATAAAATGAAAATAAATAAATAATAATAAAGCTCATGGAAAATTAGATTATCAAAAAACTATGTATGCCTGGATTTTAAAAAATGTTTGCACCAAAATAACATTTTTAAAGTTAACATTGTTTATTTGTTTGCTTGACTTGAGAAGCAGAATTACAAAGAGAGGAGAACAGACAGAGAGGTCTTCTATCCACTGGTTCACTCCCCAAATGGCCATGCTGGCCAGAGCTGGGCCAATCTGAAGCCAAGAGCCAGGAGTTTCTTCCAGGTCTCCCAAAACATGAGTAAGGGGCCTAAGCATTTGGGCCATCTTCCACTGATTTCCCAAGCCATAGCAGGGAGCTGGATCAGAAGTAGAGCAGCTGGGACTCAAACTGGCACCCTTTTGAGATGATGGTGCTACAGTCAGATGCTTAACTTACTAAGCCACAGTGCCAGCCACACTTATTTAATTTTTTTAAAGTTTTATTTATTTGAAAGGCAGAGACAGAGAGGGAGTGTGTTGTGGGGGTGGGGGGTGAGAGAGAAAGAGAGAGAAATAGACCCAGATCTCCTCCCATCTGCTGGTTCACTCCTTAAATATCCAAGGCTGACCCAGGTCAAAGCCAGGAACCCAGAATTCAGTCCACATCTCTCATGTGGGTGGCAGGGACCCAACTACTTGAGCTATCACTGCTGCCGCCCAAGGCATTAGCTGGGATTCAAATCCAGGCACACCAGTATGGGTTGTGGGCATCCCAAGTGGTATTGTATCTGCTCTACCAAATGCCCACCCCCTAAATTTATCTTTTAATTCCATTTCCATAAACTTTCTGAAATACCTTCATATCTATCAAACCCAGAATTATAAAAAGCATATTTTTCCTGCATGTAAATTTTGCCTCAACAAGCCTGTCTGTCAAAGGTTGTGGGGAAGGAGAGCAGATGTGGCCGTCAATGTAACAAGAACGGGGAATGCTGGCACCTGCCGATGCTCACTCCCTGGTGGGTGCACTGGTTTTTACACACTTGCTTATTTTATATACATTGGAAATTTCCCATACCAAAACAGTTTCAAATTTTATTCATTTATTTATTTTTAAAGATGTATTGTTTTTTGTTTTTTTTTTTTGAAAGGCAGAACAACAGAGAAAGGGAGACAGAGATCTTCCATCTGGTGATTCACTCCCCAAGTCACCACCACTGCCAGGTCTGGGCCAAGTCAAAGCCAGGAGCCAGGACTCCATCCTGGTGCCCCATGGGGGCGATGGTGGCCCAAGCACATCAGTCATCCTCTCTGCTGGCTCCCCATGTACAAGTATGTTAGCGGGAAGCAGGATCAGAAACAGAGCAGTGACCTGATGCGGGACGCTGGTGTCACTGACAGCAGCTTGGCCCACTGTGCCATAATGCCAGCCTCCTTAAGAGTTATTTTAGATGAAGGGGAAGCTGTGTGTAACAGAGGTAAAGATGCTGACTGCTCGCTGTTTCCTGCACATTAATGAACTGATGCCCCGAGATTCTCCAACTGATCTACTTTCCATGCGCTTAAATAAACTAGAACTATTTACTTTGACATTTCTTGCAGGTACCCTTCAGAATTTCTTTATGCTATTTGTGTCTTTCATAAATTTTGCCCCATTTTGAGGCCTCCTAAATTCCTTTGGCTCGGGTGTCCTCTCTCATTTAATATTTCTGTACTTTTCAAGATGCCCTTTTCCTCACAATGCCCTCTTTGACATGTCCGTAAACCGTGCAGGGCTTATTTTTCAAGTGGCTGTCCTTTTGGACTTGTGCCATGCATTTATCACAGGCTTCCAATAAAGCACTTTTAAATAGAAATGGGCTCCAGGCTTTCTATGGGCTGTAACTTTTTAAACAATTCTTTTCATTCCCCCGCCCCCTCCAGTGCCCTCATTCTGTCCTAGTTTCCCTTTCTAAAAGTGAGCAATCAAGTGATGGATTTGCCCTTCCCTTTCCCGTTAGCAAGCTGAATGTGCATTGTACTCACTGTGGACTAAATGGTTTACCCATGACCACTCAGTGCCCACTGCGGTCACTGGGCAGACCCGATTCAGCCGAACAGATTCTGCAGCAGGGGTTCAGGCTATTTGCCAAGCATCAGGCATTCCTGGCATGTCAGACCTCACCTTCATGCTGTTGGGCATTTTTAAGGTTTTTGTTTAACATTATTTGATAGGCAGTTATAGAGAGAGAGGGAGAAACAGAGACCTTCCATCCCCTGGTTCACTCCTCAAATGGCCACAACATCCAGGGCTGGGCCAGGCCAAAGCCAGGAGCTGGGGGATTCATCCGGGTCTCCCACGTGGGTGCAGGGGGCCCAGCACTTGGGCCATTCTCCAGTGCTTTCCCAGGTGCATTAGCAGAGAGCTGGATCAGAAGTGGAGCAGCCAGGACTCGAACTGACACCCACATGAGATGTCAGCACTGCAGACAGAAGCTTGCTTAACTCTGTGCCACAGTGCCAGCCCAAGTTTGCTTTTTTTTACTGATAACTGTATTTTATTGACACAGAGACAGAGACAAAGCTATATAGGGTTCCCCTCTACTGGTTCACTCTCTAGATGCCAGCAGTAGCCAGGAGTGGGCTGAGGGACCAAAGCGAGGCGCAGACTCAATCTAGATCTGCCATCACCACTGCTTCCCGAGATCTGCATTACCGGGAAGCTGGAGCCAGCAGCCAGAGTGAGGAATTTAGCCCAGGTCCTGTGGTGTCTTACCTGCTAGGTTAAATGGATATATGGGGAGTCTCCACAAGTTTCTGGAAATGCAATTATAAAAAAATATGCAGCGATTTCAAACATTTTGTGTACTAAAATAAAATTTTCTTAAAGGCTTATTAGAAAAGCATTTTTTTTTTTTAATAGAAAGAATCGTCCATCTGCTTCTCTCCATCAATGGCCACAACGGCCAGGGCTGAGCCAAGCAGAAGCCAGGAGTCAGGAGCTTCATCCAGGTTTCCCACATGCTTTCCCAAGTGCAGAGAAGACTCAAACAGGCTCTCTCCCAGGATGCCAGCATTGCAGGCAGCAGCGTAACCCACGATGCCACAATGCCGGCCCCCCACCTGGCACTTTCATTTCCCAGCCAAACTTCTGCAAGTTGTCCTGACTGGTCTCGGCACCCCCGTCCCGGAAACCCCCTGCTTTGCACCTCCTTAGAATGCAATCTGAACATAACTTGCCGTGTACACATACTTTTACGCAGCTTTGTTTTTCTCTCACCAGTGAGGTGCTTGATGACAAATTTTGAGCCTGCTTCTTGGAGCATGTGCCAGCAGTGACCCGAGCCGCTAGGGAATGAGTACTGACTGGCAGGGCCATTTCAGCCCACCAAAGTGGCAGAGGGGCTGGCAGACAGCAAGAGCCACCTGCACCTGCGTGTTTTTATCAACAGGCTGTGATTACCGTGGAGACCCCTCGGGATTTCTCCAGATCCCGAGGCCGTGGCTCATCCCAGAGAATATATTCTGGAACTCATTTAAATCACAAGGGGTTGGCAAAGAGCCCTGGTTGAAAAACAGGGCTGTTTTAGGGCCAGTTAATCGCCAGGGCAGTAGAGGAAACCCATCTGCTTGCTGACCTTAGTGGGAAACAGAAAGGCCGGGAGCTGCTAACACTTCAGCGGAATCCAGGTTAAACAATCACAAGGCGTGTGAACATGGCAAACCACTTGACATCACTACAGCCAGCAGAGAAACTGGATGAAAAGCAATCGTTGGCAGGGCAGCCAAAGCAGTGCTGAAATGAGCTTCCGCAAACACTGCCCCTTTCTGCCAAAGCAAGCGTTTCTCTATTGGTGGCCGATTCCAAAGCGCCCCTCCCAGCACCACACAAGGAATTGCTATTAGCTGCCACCTTGTGGCCTATAATGTAACTACCAAGATAAAGGTGGCTGTCCACACAAAACCCACCTGCTTACCTTAGGACTTAACCCCACATGGCCAAACACCCCACAAATGCAACTCCCAAGCCTGCTTTGCGGACTAAACACCAGGCCTGGCTAGGGCCCAGAGCTGGTGCTCCAGCCCCGCCCCCCCCAACTCCTGTTTATGATCATCTGCAAGCCAAGGCTGCAGTCTTGCTCAGCAAAGCAAAATCCAGATTGTTGCTGAGCTCTTGCCAGGCTAGATAGTGCACTTGTGGTAGAGCACCAAATGGTCCTTTCACCGCCCCCCCCCCGCCAACTCCCCATCACAGCTCCTCTAGGACCAAAGGTGGCCCTTGGCATCCTCACCAGAAAGCTGAACATTACCACCCATGTCCACTTACCGCCATGTGCTGGGCCACCGCTCATGGAAACTGCTCATAATGCACTCTTTTCATAGAGCCCTGGGATGGCAGAACCTCCAGTTGCCCACTTATTCCAACCATGGAGACACAAAACTCTCAGGAGTCTATA